GTAAAACGTACATTTTCAGCATATTCCCTTGCTTCGTCTTCGCAGTGCCCCAGACGCCCCCGAGGAGCCCCAATACAGCCCGAGAGAGACCCAAGAGGGCCCAAGACGGCCCAAAAGGGTCGTCCTGTGGGGCTGACGGAACCCCCCAAGACGGCCCCAGAGGCCCCAAAGCCAGCCCAGGAGGCCCCCAAGACGGCCTCAGGGAGGCCCAAGAGTGCCTCGTTCGACATCATGTTCCCCGAAGCCTCTCCAGGAACATGACTTCTGGGTTCCCAGGACGCCCAAAGACAGCCCCCAGAGGCCTCGGACACGCCGAAGATGGCCTCAGGACGGCCGACGACGCCGCCAAAACGCCCCAAGAGCGCCTCCAGAGGCCCCTCCAAAGGGCCCCAGAAGCCGAAAGTCATACATTTTCCTAGTGTTTTCGAAGCATTCTTGCTCTCTCCCATGTTCCGCCTCCCCACGGTCCCGGACCGCGTCAGAGGCACTTCAGATCGCTCCAAGACGGCCGAAGAGGCTCCCAAGAAAGCCCAGAGACGGCCCAGGAGGCTCCCCAGATAAGTCAAGAGGGCCTCGAGAACGCCCCAAGAGAGCCCCAAGAGCGACCCAAGAGGGCCCGAAGAACGCGACATTTCGAGGTCTCCGGCCTGAGAGGCTCCTAGGACTCCCCCGGAGGCCATCAAGAGGCTCCCGAGAAGCAGGCTCCCAAGAGGCTCCCCGGAAGCCCCAATAGGCCCCCAGGGAAGCCCCCTGCGGGCCGCCAAGACACTTCGGTAAGTCGTATTTCCCAGATAGCTTTCCGGGAACATGATTCCTTGGGCTTCCGCGCCCACCGCTCCAACCATGTTTCCAATAGGCTTGCCGACAAGGCCAAAAGGCGCCCCTCGGTAAGCCCCCAGAGGCCGCCCTCTAAGAGAGCCGAACAAATCATGCTCCCGGAAAGCTTCCCAGGAACATGATTCTCTATCTCGGAGTAGGCCCCGGGGGGGGGGAGCGGGCCGCTGCCTGTTCCCCCCATCGGTGCCCACCAGGGGTTGCGGGGGGGGGGTCCAGAGCTCCCGAGGCGGCCCGAGCCTGCCCCGAAAGAGGCCACGACAGGCTAAGGAGGTCCAGGAGGACCCAAGACGGTCTCACGAGGCCCCGAAGACGCCCACGATGCCTTCAAGACAGCCGACGAGGACTCCAACACGCTCCAGGACGGACTCAAGAGGCTCCCCACGAGGGCCCTGGAAGGCAAGATTCACTCATTTTCCCAGTGTTTGGGATTTTGGCGTTCTCGTTTTTCCTGCTTTCCAGAGCTCCCTCACGGCCTCGGAGGCCTTTCAGATCGCTCCAAGACGGCCCACGAGGCCCGACGAGGGCCCTAAGACGGCCCAGGATGCTCCCCAGACAACCTAAGTGTGCCCCAAGAGCGCGCCAAGAGAAGGCCCAGAGGGGTCCTGAGGCGGCCCGGGCCCGCCCCGGCCACGACAGGCTAATGGAGGTCCTGAGAGGGCCCTAGACGGTCCCAAGAGGCCCCGAAGACGCCCAAGCTGCCCTCAAGACTGCCGACGAGGACTCCAACACGCTCCAGGACGGACTCAAGAGGCTCCCCAAGAGGGGCCTGGGAGGCAAGATTCAGAAACTCATGTTAGAACATGTTGATTGTTTCTCCTATGGGGTCCCTCTCTCCTGTGCGTGCGCCGCGATGCCGCCTCGCCGCAGGCTTTTTGTCTTGAAAGCCTGAGGTCAGGGGGAGACCTCAGGCGCAGGGGCGCCGCCTGCCGCAGGCGCGGCGGCTCGGCCATGTGATGGCGGCGGCCGCCGCGGGCGGCGCCGCTGGCGGCTTCGCCGCGCTGCCCGCAGGCGCAGCGGCCGCGCTGCCCGCGCCCCCAGGAGGCCGCGGAGGCAACCGCGGTCGCGGCGGTCGCGGAGACGGGCGAGGCGCCGGTGGAGCCCGCGGAGGACGCGCGGCCGCTGCACGCGGGGCTGCGGGCGGCAGGCGAGCGCGTGCGGCCGCGGCTGCTGCGGGCGCTCGAGGCCGCGGAGGTGTGGCGGCTCGGCCCCGTGGAGGTGGTCGCGGTGCAGCCGCCGCAGCCGCAACGGACGGTGCCGACGGAGGAGCCGCAGCAGCTCCTGTCGCCGATGGCCCGCCAGGAGGAGGAGCCGCTGGCGCGGATGTGCAGGCTGGAGGTGCTCCTGGAGTACTGGCGGGTGGCTGCGGTGGACTACCCGCGGGAGTCGGAGCGGCTGCAGGCATGGTGGCAGCTGGAGGCGGAGGTCCGCCCGGGATGGCTGGCGCTGCCTGTGGAGGAGGCCCGCTGGGCGGACTCGTGCCTCCCCCTCTGGCAGGTGGTGCAGCCGCCGTGATCGGTGGAGCTGGCGGCGTGGCAGGACCTCCCATAGGAGCTGTTCCTGAACTGGGAGGAGGTGCTCTCGGCGTCGGAGGTCACGGCGGCGCTGGTGCTTGGGCCCCGGCTGCTGGTGGCGTTCTCGGCGGTGGAGCCGGAGGCGTGCCCGCAGGTGCAGGGGCAGCCCCAGGTGCTGGTGGCCTGCTGGGCTGGGTGCCTGCAGCTGGTGGTGGAGTTGGGCCTCCAGGAGGCTGTGGCTTCGACCTATCGGCACCGCCAGGAGGAGCAGGACCCTGGGTGCACGGCCCTTCGTCGCCGATGGCGTACCAGCGGCTTGGGCTGTCGCCAGGAGGGTTGCTGGAGTGCGTGACCCTGGACAGTTTCGGAAGCGCTGTCGGCACAGCGCTGTTCAGCAAAAAGAGCGTGTGGCCTGGCGACGGCATCGGCGTCTTCGTGGAGGCGTCTTTCCTGGGCTGCAGCAGTGCCGCCTTGTGGCCGATGCTGTCGGGGAGCTTCAATCACCTCGGTGGCGCGGTGCTGCACCTGTGCACCCAGCAGGCCAACGTGTGCTCAGGGCTGGTGCCTCAGCGCTCCGTGCTGCACGTGGAGACCTACCGCATGCGAAGCTCCACGGGGGTGACTGAGCCGTGGGCTCAGGCGCTGCTGGCCAGTCGTGGAGCCGCTGGGGGGCAGACAGCCGCTGGCCTCCCTGGCGGATCCGTCGGAGGTGCTGGCCCGCCTGGAGCTGCCGCTGGATGTGCCGTGGCTGGCTCGGAGCCTACCCCCGAGGAGCTGAAGAAGAAGGTAGCTGAATTGCGCCTACGCTTGCATCGCAAGCGTGGGATAGGTGAGGCCCTCGCGGAGCGTGCTGAGCAGGCTCTTGGCGGTCGTCGAGTGGGTCGTCGCGAGAGGAGGCGGACACGACGCGCCGGTGACGACAGCAGCTCCGATGGCTCAGTTTTTGACGGCGCCCCCCACGTCGACCCAGGCCGCAGGATAGCTCATCTTGCCCACGCCGCTCCAGGAGCTCCCCTGTCGAGCGGAATGGATCAGATCAAGCGCTATCTTGCACGGCGTGGTGGGGCGGACACCGACAAGGGCCTGGGCGAGCTGGCGGCGACGGTGGTGCAGTACATCGCGAGCGTCTGGCACGGTCACCACCCGCAGAGCGAGATGGGGGTGAGAAATGTTCGCGAGATGCGAACTGTCGGCGAGTGTCTCGACGCGCTGCTCAGAGGAGAGTTGGATCACCTGGGCGATCTCTTGATGCAGAGGCTGAAGGCGATCGAGCAGGCTACCAAGGACGGCCACTGGCAGGTGGCCCAGCATCTCGAGCTGTGCGACGACCTGGGCGTGGGTCTCGCTCGCCAGGAGGAGGTGCACGGCGCCGTGAGCAAGCACAAGAGGATGTTTGGCCTGGCCGAGAGCGCGGCGAAGGCCAAGAAGGGAGGTGGCGCAGGATACGGGTCAGGCCGAGAGGGCAGCGGACAGCCTCGGGCGCCGCCCTCTCGGAGGCCATCTCCGACCCGTGGCATCCTCTCTTCAAACCCGACGACCAACAAGTCCAGCAGCATGGTGGAGCGCGAGAAGGCATCACGAAAGACGCGCTGGAGGAAGGAGCGGAGGCAGGCTGCCGCCGCGAAGAAGCAAGCTGCAGCACCAGCGGCTCACGGAGGAGGGCAGGCGCAGCAGTCGGCCAGCCCCGCAGTTTCGCATCCTCCCGCGCCTGGCGCCCCAGGGTCACCAGCCGCCGCCGCGCGCGGCGCCGTGGGCCCTGGCCCCGATCGCCGACCGATCCTGCGCCCACCTGCTGGAAGGGAGACGCGGCCAGCGTCGCCAGTGAGGCGCGTGCACTTCGCCGATCAGGTCGAGCAAGGCGGACTGCAGCAGCCGCCAGCGCCGAGGAGCCACCCAGGTTCGCCTTCGCCGCAGCGCAAGGGCGAGAAGGCGAAGACCACGAGCTCGGGCAAGCCGAAGTTCAAGAAAGGCAAGGGCGGCGGCAAGTCGGACAGGTGGCAGGGTCCCGGCTCCAAGGGCAAGTCGAAGGGCAAGAGCAAAGGCAAGCAGCGCGCCTAGCTCCCACGGACATGATGGTTGGTCCGTCTGAGTCTGAGAAGAATGACAATCCAACCGATGATCAGGAGTCGGAGATCTCATCCCAGAGGTCATCTTGTCTTGACTCCTTGCATGACGCGGAGCACACTGTCGCTTGTGACACAAAGGATGTCTCCGAGAATGTATTTTCCTTGTCCTGTGCGCTGCCCAGTTCATCCGTTGAGAACTTCGGCACCACGCTACTGTCTCGGCTACTTCCTGCGCTACACCCTGGCACTGAACGTAAGTCCGCATTGCATCGTTCGAGGTCGCCGTCGCCTACCCTGGCTACCGCTGCTGGGGGTGCTGGGTCTGCCTCTGAGGCGGCCCACGGCGAGACAGGCGACTCTTCACATTTGGCTTCTTTACGTACATCCACTGGCAATTCAGTCAATCAGTCATTTGGTAAAGCTGACGTTACTTCTGAATGCGATGGTATCTCACACCCGGCTTCTTTACGCACTCCTTCGACGGCTTCGCTGGTTTCCGAATATGATGCAGTCTATGGAGATCCGCTTCCATCACCGAACGGTCGGCGAGAGCGTCGGGATCTTCTCCCGCTCCCGATCGTGTTTCATGGGTTGGCTGCTCCTCAGCGTCGCGGAGACATTCGTGAGGGCGGTCAAGATCTGGCAGCTGCGAAGCCTGAGGAGTTAGATTGGCTACATTGTATCGTGTCAGGTCTCAACCTTCTCTACACTCGCAGTTGGGTCCATGCGCCTCACGGCCCTCCAAGCGCCACTCAGCGCAAGGCCCTCGATAATCTTCTCTATGATGTCAGAGTCTTTCGTGAGCAGTGCGCTGGCCTGATCCCTGACATCGACTGGGACGCCGACCTTTGCTCCGCCGCCACTTCCTACGACGGCGAGGAGTTGTTCCCTGCCGAGCCCCTTGACCGTGATCGTTTGCTCGAAGCCCTGCCTCCTCGAGAGGCGTGCGCTGCCGTGAGGGCCGTTGATGTGACAGAGGGTTGGATCAGAGCTGCCCTCTCCGATCCAGGTGTCATCCTGAAGGACGAGTCGGAGCTTGGCAGCTTGCCCCCCGCTCCGAAGGTCTGGGCCTCGAACGAGGAATGGGAGCTTATCGCTGGCGACCTACTCGAGAGGGGGATTCTCAAGACGATCGAGTACGAGGACATCGTGGAGGTTCAAGGGCGAAAAATGATGGGGGGCATGTTCGGCGTGAAGAAGGGATCCCACTTGAAGGGCGAGGGGCCGCAGCGGCTGGTGATGAACATCACCCCCTCCAACTTCATCCAGAATACGATCGAGGGCGACATGCCGATGCTGCCCCACAGCGACAAGTGGAAGAGCGTGATCCTCAGGTCTGGAGAGGTGATGCTCTGGAGTGCGGAGGATCTAAAGTGCTGCTTCTACGTGTACAGCCTCGGCGATGTGTGGCTGAAATACATGGCCATCTCAAAGCCCGTGAGGAGGTGCGTCGCTGGGCTTTCAGGCAAGGGCATGATATACCTGGCCGCCGCCGTCGTACCCATGGGATGGATATCGGCAACCGGGGTGATTCAGCACATCCACCGTCGCCTTCTTCGAGCCCGGCATCCTGAGCTACGGCAACTCTCGGCGTCGGAGGAGCTGCGCAAGGACGCTCCTATTCCTCCTGCTCGCCGAGGTGGCTCTCACATCTCAGGAGTGGCTCCTGTCCGTGGTGAGGTCGGCCGCACTTATGATGACGACAAGCGGACGATCTACATCGGGCGCGGCTCCAGCCCACTACAGCTTGCTCCATCGAAGTGGGGCAACCCGTTCCGCATTCGGGATGGTCTGGACAGGAGGCGGGCCATCGAGCTATTCGCAGAGCACCTGGAGAAGTCGCCCGACCTTCTGGCCGACTTATCTTCTCTGAGTGGTGTTCGGCTGCTTTGCCACTGCAAGGAGCACCAGGCCTGCCACGGCGATGTTCTGATCGCGAAGTGGTTGGAGCGCTTCAACACGCCAGCCCTCTGGAGGGCCTGGCAGGTGTACGTCGACAACTTGGACGTGCTGGAGATCACCGACTGGTGGCACGCCAAGTCCCTGCAGGAGGAGGGGATCAGCGAGGCGGTCGATCTGGCCCGTCGGAGGTATGAGCACTTCAACGTGCCAAGAAGCGAGAACAAGGCCGTCATCTGCGAGACCACGACGCAGTCCCTCGGGGAGGCGATCGATGGGGAGCGCGGCACCATCGGGCCGCCCGCAGAGTTCGTGCGACGGCTGATCTCCCTCACCTTGGCGACTCTGCAAAGGCCCACAGTGACTCAGAAGTGGATGCAGATCCTGGCGGGCCGATGGGTTCGGTACCTCCTGTTCAGGCGCGAGGCGATGATGTGCTTCACTCACTTGTGGCGATTTTTGGTGAAGTTGCGTGGTGATGCGAAGGTGCCGCGTAAGGTACGCGAGGAGCTGGCGTCGGCCTTAACGTTGCTCCCTTTGCTTCGCTGTGACCTGCGCGTGCCGATCAGCGGGCTGGTGACGGTCTCGGATGCCAGCATGCAGCGTGGAGCCGTGTGTCGAGCTGTTCGCATTCGGCCTGATGGAGTGGCCGCTGCGAGAGCGGCCAGCCGAAGGCTGGTGACTGACTTCCGCGACGAGGTGGTGCTCCTGTCCTTGTTCGACGGCATTGGTGGGGCTCGCCGCGCCCTGGACCTGTTGGGGCTCGCTCCCGCGCTGTTCGTGTCCGCCGAGATCGACGCCGAGGCGAAGCGAGTGACCAAGTATGCATGGCCGGACGTGCTGGAAGTGGAGTCGGCGACGTCTGCTCCTCTGGGTTCGCCGAGGCGGTGGCCATCCGTGAACGAGTTCAGCATGTGAAATGGATACTAGTGGTGGCCGGTAGCCCTTGCAGCGACCTGTCCCGCATCAACGCTGAGCGCACTGGCCCTCAAGGGAGACGGTCACGTCTGTTCTACGAGGTAAGCCGCATTGTGTCTCTTCTGCGCGAGGCGCTGGGTGATTTCTGCACGGTGCTGTCCCTGGTTGAGAACGTGGCCTCCATGGACTCGGAACCGCGACAGTTGATGTCACAATCCCTGGAATGCGAACCTGTGTGCATCTCAGCGGGTGATGTCACACACTGCCAGCGTGATCGCTTGTATTGGATCAAGGAGGAGCTGTTGACGCCATGGCAGGGCGAGTCGTCTGTCATGGACTCGGCGAAGCACGTCGTGATCCCGGACGGGCCCGGTCCAGTTGAACGCTGGCTGGCCGCTGGGCTTCAGTGGCAGGGTGACGTTCAGGAGGACTTCCGCCTGCCCACCTTCCTGCGCTGTGTTCCTCGTCGTGCTCCAGGTCAATTCCCGTCAGGTCTCGACAAGTGTGCAAGTCATGAAGTCGAGCGTTGGCGCAGGTTCAACTACTGCTACGCGCCCTACCAGTTCCAGGACATCAACTGTATCGAGGAGCCTGACGGCAGCCGAAGGCCCCCCTCGAGTGTCGAGAGAGAGCTGCTGCTCGACTTCCTTCCAGGGCACACGATCACGGCACGAGTGACTAGAGCGCGCAAGCTTGAGAAAGCTGATCTGGAGTGTTGCCGGTGCGCTCTGCTTGGGAACAGCTTTCAGTGTGTGGTTGTCGCCTGGGTGCTGGCCCACTGGGCTCAGAGAGCAGGCTACCTGGCCGAGATCCCCTCCGTCGGGCAGATGCGTGAGACTGGAGGTGACGCCACCATCGCCGATGCCACAGTCAGCATGGACCAGATGGATTGCGACGACGGTGTCTTGGTGCGCCAGCACGATCTCGAGAGTGAGGATGCCGCGCTGGACCCCAGCATCATCATCGTGGAAGAGCTGGCCCGCCGTGCCGTGGCCAGAGGCAGCGACATCAGGCTTGACACGTTCGAGGCGATGCGGCCTGATCTGTGGCCCAGGCGACCAGTCAGTGTGGCACGCTGGTCATGGAAGGCCACCGCCATCTGGGATTGGAAGCACCCGTCCCGCATCACGGACCTTGAGGTGAGAGCCACTCTGGGAGCCATGCGATGGCGCTTCAGATCCTCTCAACATTTACGCACCCGCTTTTGTCATCTGATGGATTCTCAAGCTGGTCTCGGAGTCATTACCAGAGGCCGATCATCATCTCACCTGCTGCATGTTACCGTTCGACGCATTGGTGCCTTGATCTTGGCTGCTCTTGCCCGTCCCGTGTATGGGTACACGGAGACTGACCGCAACCCCGCGGACAATCCGTCGGGGAGCGGCTGCGGCTCCTAGTTGACTTCATGCCAGGTCGAGTTCAACACAGAGTCAGAGCAGCGCAGGATCAGGATACGTGTCGTCAGCTTCGGGCCGTGGTGGGTCGCCTATCACACAATCTGGTGCAGCCACTGACCCTGGAGGTATATCAGAATGCAGTGAGACACTTTTCGGATTGGGTTACTATGAGAGGGCTTTCTTGGTCTGGGGGCGCCGACCACATTGATCAACTGGATCTGCTGGTGGCCGACTGGATCGAGTGGCTCTGGACCGAAGGGCATCCTCAGGGCTTGGCAGGGAACGCTCTGTCAGCCGTCCAGTTCTTTTTGCGCAAGAAGCGCATCCTGCCAGCGTCGTGGAGGCTACTTCGTGCTTGGCAGAGACTAGAGCTGCCGCAGCGAGTGCTTCCGATGCCTGACATCGTGTTGACGGCGCTGGCTGCCACCGCGCGTGGCTGGGGCCGCAACGACGTCGCGGCGCTGCTGGTCCTCGGCTTCGCAGCCTTCCTGAGGACCACCGAGATGCTGACCTTGCGACGCTGGCAAGTCGCCATCGACGAGGCTCGCGCTAGAATAGCTGTAGTGCTGCCAATCACAAAAAGTGGCCTGCGATTTCATCGACAGGAGACAGTCGTGATTGAGGATGCCTCGGTGACACAGTTGATATCGTACTTATTACGACATGTTCCGTCAGACCAACTGATATTGTCATCTTCAATGGGTGATTTCAGACGTATATTTGAGCAGCTGTGCGCTGCTATCGGTTGCCCGCAATTTCAATTCAAGCCATGCAGTCTAAGAAGAGGGGGGGCCACATCGTTCTTCCGTCGCACTCGTAATATGCCTGCCACTCTAGAGAGAGGGCGTTGGCAGGACACGGCGACGGCTCGTATATACCTTACAGAATGCCAGCAGGCTCTATCATAATTGCGCGTTTCGCAATCAACCCTCGAAAGATGGAGGTTTCTTGGGAGCTTGCTGGCCTACGATGTGGCCTCCCCCGCTGCGGTGGTTTCAAGGCGGTGAACCAGGTGGGGAGACGTGGAAGAGCTCTTGGGTCCTCTCGGCCTCGTCTTGCCTCATCGTGGCGCCCGGGTTTTCCTGGTGGCCGCTGGCGGCCGTTTCGAGGGGCCCTGGTTTTCCGCGGAGGAGTCCTGGGGCCATAGGCCTCGTTCGGCCTGACCTCGCCCTGGGAGAAGCTCGGCCGCGCGGTGCTGGCGGCGCTGGCGAGAGGCAACACGGGGCGGTGAGTTCAATGGGGCTCAGCCGCCCCGCTGGTGGGCCCGCGAGGCACCGCTCGACAATACCCTGGTGGAAGCGGCGTGGCACAAAACAAGAGGGGATCCCAAATAGTAAGAGAAACAGAAACTCATGTTAGAACATGTTGATTGTTTCTCCTATGGGGTCCCTCTCTCCTGTGCGCGCGCCGCGATGCCGCCTCGCCGCAGGCTTTTGTCTCCCACCCTCGGGCCACCCTTTTGAGAGGGAAGAGCTCTTGGGTCCTCTCGGCCTCGTCTTGCCTCATCGTGGCGCCCGGGTTTTCCTGGTGGCCGCTGGCGGCCGTTTCGAGGGGCCCTGGTTTTCCGCGGAGGAGTCCTGGGGCCATAGGCCTCGTTCGGCCTGACCTCGCCCTGGGAGAAGCTCGGCCGCGCGGTGCTGGCGGCGCTGGCGAGAGGCAACACGGGGCGGTGAGTTCAATGGGGCTCAGCCGCCCCGCTGGTGGGCCCGCGAGGCCCCGCTCGACAATACCCTGGTGGAAGCGGCGTGGCACAAAACAAGAGGGGATCCCAAATAGTAAGAGAAACAGAAACTCATGTTAGAACATGTTGATTGTTTCTCCTATGGGGTCCCTCTCTCCTGTGCTTGCGCCGCGATGCCGCCTCGCCGCAGGCTTTTTGTCTCCCACCCTCGGGCCACCCTTTTGAGAGGGAAGAGCTCTTGGGTCCTCTCGGCCTCGTCTTGCCTCATCGTGGCGCCCGGGTTTTCCTGGTGGCCGCTGGCGGCCGTTTCGAGGGGCCCTGGTTTTCCGCGGAGGAGTCCTGGGGCCATAGGCCTCGTTCGGCCTGACCTCGCCCTGGGAGAAGCTCGGCCGCGCGGTGCTGGCGGCGCTGGCGAGAGGCAACACGGGGCGGGGAGTTCAATGGGGCTCAGCCGCCCCGCTGGTGGGCCCGCGAGGCCCCGCTCGACAATACCCTGGTGGAAGCGGCGTGGCACAAAACAAGAGGGGATCCCAAATAGTAAGAGAAACATTCATTTTCCTATGGTTTTTGAAGGATTTTGGCGTTCTCGCTTTCCCCCCTTCCCAGCGCTCCCTCACGGCCTCGCTCGGAGGCCCTTCAGATCGCTCCAAGACGGGCCACGAGGCCCCGAAGAGGGCCCCAAGACGGCCCAGGAGGCTCCCCAGACAACCCAAATGTGCCCCAAGAGCTCCCCAAGAGAGGGCCCAGAGGGGGACCGCCAACCGATATTTCGAGGTCTCTGGCCCTAGAGGCCGCCTGTAGGCCCCCGGAGGCCACCAAAAGGCTCCCACGAAGCCCCGTGAGGCGCCCAGGAGGCCAAGAGGCCCCCAGGAAGACCCCAAAGGGCTCCCAGGGAACGCCCAAGAGGCCCCCCAACACACCCCAAGAAATCATGTCCCCAGAAAACCTTCCGGGGACATGGTTCATCATGGGCCCGAGAGTTCCCGGAGGCCCCCAAGGGGCCCGCCCAAGAGACCCCCCAACACACCCTTACAAACCATGTCCCCAGAAAGCCTTCTGGGGACATGGTTCATCATGGGCCCGCGAGTCTCCGGAGGCTTCGAAGTACCATCATGCTACAGGAGAGCTGTCTGGGAAGTTGATTGGGAACATGACTGATCGCCTTTTCGCGGCCCTCCGCAGATCGTTTCGCACAAAGTTGCCCCAAGTGCCCTCTTGAATCGACGACGACGACGACGAAACGACGAAGACGACGACGACGACGACGATGACGACGACGACGACGACGACGACGACGACGACGACGACGACGACGACGACAACGACGACGACGACGACGACGGCGCGCCCCAATAGGCGACGACGACAATACGACGACGACGACGACGACGACGACGACGACGACGACGACGGCACGCCCCAGTAGGCTTCCCAAGACGCCCCAAACCCATGCTCCCAGAAGGCCTTCCGGGAACCCGATTCATACGGCCTCCGCCCCCCTACACAACCATTTTCTTCGAAGGCTTTTCGGAATGCAGATTGGCATGCGTGGACTGTGGTCCACTACTTCAGTGGAGCAGTGAATTCGTCAAGGCTTGGGGCCTGCTAGAACCTGAGCGCGCGCGAAGCGCGCGCGATGGTTCTAGTGTGTGTGGTGTATATCTATATACATATATACATATATATATACATATATATATATATACATATATATATATATATATATATATATGTGAAAGAGCGTGTTCTACCGCTGCTAGCGGAAAACCGGGGCGGGGGGGGTCACTACCGGTTCGAACCCCTCCCCCCCCCCCTCCGGAAAACCGGGGGGGGTCAATACCGGTTCGAACCCCCCCCCCCCCAGTTCCAGTTCATCATGAAAAGGGGGGGGGGTCACTACCGGTTCGAACCCCCCCCCCCCTCGAGCTCGAAAACCGGGGGGGGTCACTACCGGTTCGAACCCCCCCCCCCTCGAAAACCGAGGGGGGGTGCGGACAGTGGTGGGGACGGTGGTGGTGGGGACAGTGGTGAGGGGACAGCGGGACAGTGGTGGGGACAGTGGGACAGTGGTGGGGACGGTAGTGGTGGGGACAATGGTGAGGACAATGGTGGGAACAGTGGGGACAGTGGGACGGTGGTGGTGGGGGGACAGTGGTGTGGGGACAGTGGGAATGTGGTGGAAACAGTAGGACAGTGGAGGGTACAGTGGTGGTGGGGACAGTGGTGAAGGCGGTGGCGAGGACGGCGGTGGGACAATGGGAAAGAGGTACAGTGGGGACAGTGGTAGGGACAGTGGGGACAGTGGTGGGAACAGTGGGACAGCTCAGTGGTTCGAACCGGTAGTGACCCCCCCCTCCGGTTTTCGAGGGGGGGGGGGGTTCGAACCGGTAGTGACCCCCCCGGTTTTCGAGCTCGAGGGGGAAGGGGGGAAAGGTTGGGGGAGGGGGGGGGGTTGCCGGGGGAAGGGAGGGGGGGGGAAGGGGTTCCAGCAGGGGGGGGGAGGATTTTCGGAGGGGGGGGGGGGGACCCCCGGGTCCCGGAGGAAAAGGGCGGCAATTTTCCACAGTAAAGCGGCGGTGGATCACGCTCTCTCTCTCTCTCTCTCTCTCTCTCTCTCTCATATATATACACCTATACGACTACCCTTCGGGTGATAAGGAGGTGAGGCGGGGGAGGGACCAACGTCGCACTCGATCGATCTCACTATCGAACTCACTACCGATCTCACAATCGATCTCAACCGATGGATCTCACAATCGGTCGGACTATCGATGTCACAATAGATCCCACAATCGATCTCACATTCGGTCTCGCTATTGATCTCACAATCGATACCACAATCGATCTCACAATCGATCTCACATTCGATCTGACTATCGATCTCACTATCAAATTCACTATCGATCTCATTATCGATCCCACATTCGGTCTCACTATCGATCTCACTATCGCTATCACAATCGATCTCACAATCGATCTCGCATTCGGTATCACTATCGATCTCACTATCGAACGCACTTTCGATAACATTATCGATCTCACATCCGGTCTCACTATCGATCTCACTATCGATATCACAACCGATCTCACAATCGATCTCACATTCGGTCTCATCATCGATCTCACTATCGAACTCACTATCGATCTCATTATCGATCTCAATCGATCGATCTCACAATCGATCTGACTATCGATCTCACAATCGATCTCACAATAGATCCCACAATCGATCTCACATTCGGTCTCACTATTTGTCTCACTATCGATATCACCATCGATATCACAAACGATCTCCCATTCTGTCTCACAATCGATCTCACTACCGATACCACTATCGATCTCACTATCGATATCACAACCGATCTCACAATCGATCTGACATTCGGTTTCACGTTCGATCTCACAACCGATATCACTATCGATCTCACTATCGATCTCACATTCGACCTCACTATCGATCTCACAATCGATCCGCATCACCATCATCAGCATCATCGGGACACCATCAACACCATCATCATCATCATCATCATCATCATCATCATCATCATCATCATCATCATCATCATCATCATCATCATCATCATCATCATCATCAGCACATCATCATCATCATCATCATCATCATCACACGGGGCACAAGGGACACGGCACGCCTCAGCCACACGGGACACCAGCGGGACACCGGCGGGACACCGCGGGCCCCCGGCCGCCCGGAAGGGAGACATTTGGTCCAGCCGCGCCTCAGCCACAGGAGAGTTTCTCTCGCCCGCCCACGCAGCTTCGCCTCGCCCGCACGGCACGCACGAACACGAAACCGAAATCGATTTCCCGGGAGGGGGGCTCTCCGTTCCACTTCGATCTCACCCCCTCACCTCCGATATACCTATACGACCACCCTGCGGGTGATAAGAAGGTTGGGGGGGGGGTCCCCGCAATGGGCAACAGTGGAATGTTGTTGTGACAATGGCCCCCAAGACCCTCGAAGGATGAGGAAGCTGATGTGGGGAGGAGGAGTAGGGAAAAGGAGAGGTCCAGAACCGAGGGGTGCGTGGTGGAGGAGTACCTGAGAGAAGACCTCATTCGCTGTCTCATTCGGTCTCACTACCGATCTCACAATCGATATCACTATCGACGTCGTCATCATCATCATCGGCATCACCATTAGCATCATCATCATCATCGTCATCATCATCATCATCATCATCATCATCATCATCATCATCATCATCATCAGCGTCATCATCATCATCAACGTCGTCATCATCACAATCATCATCACCATCATGGCCATCATCACCATCAGCATCGCACAATCGATCTCACATTCGGTCTCACTATCGATATCACAATCGATCTCACAATCGACGTCATCATCATCATCATGATCATGATCATCATCATCATCAACGACACCAACATCATCATCATCATCATCATCATCATCATCATCATCATCATCATCATCATCATCGCCACCATCAACAACATCATCATCATCATCATCATCATCATCATCATCATCATCATCATTACCATCATCATCATCACCATCATCATCATCATAATCATCCACGTCATCATCGGGACACCGACGGGACACCGAAGGGACACCAGCGGGACACCGGCGGGACACCGCGCGGCACCGGCCGCCCGGTCAAGGTTCTTTTGCCCCAGCCGCGCCTCAGCCACACGGGACACCAGCGGGACACCGGCGTGACACCGCGGGGCACCGGCCGCCCGGTCAAGGTTCTTTTGCTCCGGCCGCGCCTCAGCCACAGGAGACTTTCTCTCGCCCGCCCACGCAGCTTCGCCTCACCCGCACGGCACGCACGAACACGAAACCGAAATCGATTTCCCGGTAGGGGGGCTCTCCGTTCCACTTCGATCTCACCCCCCAACCTCCGATATATGTATATATATATATATATATATATATATGTATATGTATATGTATATGTATATAACTAATGGGGAGGGGGCCAGTGGGCCCCAGGGAACCCTGATTTCAGTACCTGGCCTCTGGCCCCTTCCGTAGGCGGCTCTTGGCCCTCCCAGGTACGTGCAGCAGGCTTTCAAATTGCTCCCAG